ACACTAATGCATATAATCCAGAAGTTTCCTGGAGAGCATGAAGATGAGCTTTGTGGTGCCAATGACAGATATCCAAGAAGGAGGAGTGCTTTGTTGTACATAGTACTTACAAACTAGAAAAAAACTGGTTTAGTTTGAAAGCTGTTTGCAGTATTTAACAAAGGTATTTATCAAGAGTCATCTATCCCAGTGAGCAGGAAATAAGATTAAAATGTCAGGACAAAGATGAACAAGTGGCTCCTAAGAAAATTCAAACATTAAAAAAGAAAAAGAAAGAAGGTCAAAGCAAGGACAAATACTCTGAGTGGATCATAGAGACACTGTCTGAGCATGGTTAAGAATATACAGCTAGAGAAAGTAAAACCTGCCTGGAACTTTATACTGGTAATGGATGCCAAAGACACTAGTTTATTCTCTAAATCAGTAAGTGGGAATAAGAATATTAGAGGAAATGTAGGCCCCTTTCTAAATGTGGCAGGAAGTCTGGCCATGCAGGGTATGAAAAGGCAGAGGTAACTAATGCCCTCTACGCCTTTGCCTTTATAAGCAAGTCTGGCCTTCAGCAATTCCAGAGCTGAACCAAATGGACTTCAGATTACTCTTCCAGCATCAGCCCTTCTGTGATTCAAAGTGTTAATTCAGAGTGCTCAGCCTGGCTTAGTTAATTTACCCCAGGTACAAAACTGGTTTTGGAGAGTGCACACCAACCATATGTGACATAGGGTGACCGACTGTGGAGCGTAATTTGACCTTAAAGAGTTCTGAAAAGAAATGCCACCTTGCAGGATGGCCAAAAACTTGGCAGTTTCACTGTGTGTGCAACACGTGGTGCTACTGGCCCCAGGGTCCTTTGCAATGACAGAGACTGCTGAAAAATCTGAAGTGATTTGGGTCATCAGAGACCACCTTAGAGATTGTAAGAAAGACTGTCTGCCTTCAGTTTCCCTGCAGCTTCCAAGACCCATGCTAGGCAAGACCCTGGCAACTGGTTTTTGTCCAGTGTAAACCCAAATTTTTGGTTTGCTGAGGTCACTGGTAGAATTTTGGATTAAGTCTAATAGAGTGATAGGACAGAACAGCACAGAAAACAACATTAATAAATAATTCAGACATTATAATTACCAGAAGATTCTGGCACAATAGAAACAAAGCTGTAAATTCAGCCTCTCACATGCTGCCAGTAGAAGGGACATGACAGGAAAAGGTACAGAAAAAGAACTATCCATGCAAAAAACAAGTGTGTTGTCTTTGCACAACTGAATGATGAATGTATCTTTGTGCTATGATGCTACATGGTTACTATAATGGAATTTTATCAGCTTTTCTTGACATGTACATCCTAAGCGAGGAACTCCTCAGAAAAGTAATTCTTCCCTTATTTTATCTTTACTAACACTGCATTTCTCAGTTGTTACAATAACCCAACAGGCTTACATCTAAGCATAGAATGCAGCAGCAGTTCTTTTTATTAGTGGATAGTAAAAGAGAAGACAGAGACACAACTCTGTTAAATCAGCATTCAGCAACTGTGTTTCTTACCTTCTTATATTTACTCTCAATGCATTTTCAATGTTGACAAGCCCATTTTTCATCCTTATGTTGAATGATTAGTATTTATGAAAATGAACATGTAAGATACACATTTTTTGTACCTGGCCTCATTTGTCAGGAGATGAGCTCATTCAAGGCAATTACGATGATGACAGAGACTGATGGTAAATGATCATACCAAAGAATTTAGTATTGGCATGCATTATACAGTCAGTTGCATTAGCTTGAAGTTTCTTTGCAAATTATAATAAATAAATATCAGTTATATGGAGCTCAAAATTGTCTAAATTTTCTTATTCACAGGAGCAAATCAGAGAGGAGAGAAAGATGTTATTACGTTGCAGAGATTTTTTAATTTTCCTTCTTTTCTTAGAATTACTCCTTTAAATTCTGGTGGTTCTGTTAGGACCAGAATGGAAATTAAAGTCTGATAATAGTTCCAATCAGAAAAGAAACCAACTTTTGACAACTTCATTTGAAAATTAAAGGAATAAATTCAGGAGATTTTCAAATAAGCTAAGCACTGTCAAAGCATACCAAAAGATTTTATATAAGAAGTTCTAATTTTAAGTGCAGATATAATTTGGTTAGAGTTCTTATTATATCTCTCTTTTTAAAATATTTTTTTTCTATCAAATAACTGCCATTAAACTTCCATCTTTGTGGAAAAAAAATTCCTCAGATTCCAATACTAATTGTTCAACAGTAAGAAGAAGGGAAAAAAATCAGGCCTGATCTCAAAAGGAATTCCATAATCTAGACTGAAATGCCATTATGTTGGGCTTTCTACATGAAAGTACACTAGACATTACCTGAAGCACAGTTTGGTCTCTCTATTGCTCTCTTCTACTTAATCCTATTTTGGTGTTGTCTGGTTTTCTCTAACATCTCAAACTGCCTTTTCCAATCAATAACACTACTCCTCAAAGATGATAAAACTGGTTTTTCCTCTTTTCTTTTCTTTTCTTTTCTTTTCTTTTCTTTTCTTTTCTTTTCTTTT